CAGTTAAATCAGAACCAGTCTTGTTCCTTCTGAATCTACATTTAGAGCAGCTCTCTCTATCTGCAGGGCAACTGTTGTTAATGGGTAAACTCTTACTTCTAGCAAGGCGTTGTGTTTTATTCCAGTGGATTGAGGAAAAACCTCCCTCGGTCACACAGTGGTACAGAGAAATATTTAAGGTTTTTCCTTTGCAACGCCTCAGTGCCATATTAAGGGGCAATGCCAATTTGTTTTATAATGTTTGGCAACCTTTTCTTGACTACCTTCCTGGTGATCTTGCTGGTTTGCTGCAGGATGGGAGACCACATTTTGTTTTCACCAATAAGCCATAAATTCTTTTTTTTTATTATTTTTTTTTTTTATTATTATTATTATTATTTTTTTATGTATGTGTTTTGTTGTAAACAATAATGTAGATTATGTGATGTAACATGTGATGTGCAATTTATGTGTGAATTCTTTTTTTTTTCTTTTTTTTTTTCTGTTTTGTATGTTGGTAATAGCTGGGCTTGTTTGTTTATTGTTTGTGTAAAATCAATAAAATATATAATAAAAAATAATAAAAAAATAAAATATGATCATATCACACCGATTCTATCATCACTTCATTGGTTACCTATAAAGTTCCGTATTAATTACAAGGTATTGCGTTTGACTTATAAAGCTCTAAATGGTTTAGCTCCAGTCTATTTAACGGATCTTCTATCGCCCTACAATCCATCGCGTTCTTTAAGATCACTAAATTCGAGGCTTCTGGTCATTCCTAGGATATCCAGATCCACCAAAGGAGGGAGAGCATTTTCACATTTAGCTCCGAAGCTCTGGAATAGCCTTCCTGATATTGTTCGTTGCTCAGACTCGTTCTCCCAGTTTAAAACTAGACTAAAGACGCATCTATTTAGCCAGGCATTCATATAATTTTTTTATCTTACAGTTACTGTAAATTCGGCCTCTACTTCATAAACGCCAGAGGAGAACTGGCCCCGACTGAGCCTGGGTTCTCCCAAGGTTTTTTTTTCTCCATTGGGTCATCTGATGGAGTTTTAGGACACCATCGGGTCACTTGATGGAGTTTTTCGGTTCCTTGCCACTGTTGCCTTTGGCTTTCTCAGTTGGGGATATTCAAATTAAATGACCCATCATACCACTGATCAGCTCTACCAAACTTGGATGTCTTTTTCCAGTAATAAACAAACACTGTTAAGTTGTTTTGATTGATACTGTGAAGCAGCTTTGATACAATCTGTATTGTGAAAAGCGCTTTATAAATATATTTGACTTGACTTGACTTGACTTGTTGCCTGTCAATGATGTAATATCCGCGTTCTCCCCGGTGTCCGCTCGTACTGCCATAGTAACCATGGCAACAGATGTGGACAACTGCGTAATGTAAACGGCACACTGTTGTTGTTTCGTTCAAACATTATGGATCATGGCAAGCAGACTTTAGGACAAAAGGAGAACTAAAACGAGGATCAATATCAGCGTGGCGTTTTTGAGATGCCAAGAGCTTCACGACAAACTTGGACTTGACAGAGACGCCGCTCTTGTATCTTGTATGTACTTTATTAGACAGGTGAGCAAATGTACATAAAACGAATCAATGTTATATAGCTCAACATGATGAAATGTTAGAATATGATCAGTATGTTATTCTAATGTTGATCTAGCTTACTGCTAGTCTCATATAGCCAACAAACTAACACATAGAATAACATTATAATTTTATAACACACTCAACATTAACACAACATTATAACACACTCAAATGCAGTTTAGTGTGATAGTGTAACGTTAGACCAAGTGAAGCAGCTCTGCGTTACCTCACAAGTTTAATTCGTCAAATAAACTGACCTGTGTGAGTATTAATACAGCACTTGCGGGTAGTTCGGAAGAATGAAATGTCCTCATCCCTTTATATCCGCGGGACTTGCGTGTGGCGCTGATATCTGTCTCTCATTAGCAATCGTGCTCTGCTTCACACCGCAGTCATGTTAAAAAACATGAATGTTTTCACTCATCCATAAACATTATTAGATCCATCAGCATGACGGCAAGTTCCATGATTCCGCTTATCACTGCGTCATCGATCTACACCTTTGTTATTGTTAGAGGTTAGCGAACCCTAGCGGCGAAAAAAATGACATATTGTAGCTTTAAGCATAATTATGAAAATAAAATACTTTATGTATTATTTTGGAACAACTTATTGCAACTTGCATTAAGTGATACGTAGCTAATTAGCGTTGAGGCAGAGGTAATTTACACTAAGTGGTACATACACTCACCTAAAGGATTATTAGGAACACCAAACTAATACTGTGTTTGACCCCCTTTTGCCTTCAGAACTGCCTTAATTCTACGTGGCATTGATTCAACAAGGTGCTGAAAGCATTCTTTAGAAATATTGGCCCATATTGATAGGATAGCATCTTGCAGTTGATGGAGATTTGTGGGATGCACATCCAGGGCACGAAGCTCCCGTTCCACCACATCCCAAAGATGCTCTATTGGGTTGAGATCTGGTGACTGTGGGGGCCATTTTAGTACAGTGAACTCATTGTCATGTTCAAGAAACCAATTTGAAATGATTGGAGCTTTGTGACATGGTGCATTATCCTGCTGGAAGTAGCCATCAGAGGATGGGTACATGGTGGCCATAAAGGGATGGACATGGTCAGAAACAATGCTCAGGTAGGCCGTGGCATTTAAACGATGCCCAATTGGCACTAAGGGGCCTAAAGTGTGCCAAGAAAACATCCCCCACACCATTACACCACCACCACCAGCCTGCACAGTGGTAATAAGGCATGATGGTTCCATGTTCTCATTCTGTTTACGCCAAATTCTGACTCTACCATCTGAATGTCTCAACAGAAATCGAGAATCATCAGACCAGGCAACATTTTTCCAGTCTTCAACTGTCCAATTTTGGTGAGCTCTTGCAAACTGTAGCCTCTTTTTCCTATTTGTAGTGGAGATGAGTGGTACCCGGTGAGGTCTTCTGCTGTTGTAGCCCATCCGCCTCAAGGTTGTGCGTGTTGTGGCTTCACAAATGCTTTGCTGCATACCTCGGTTGTAACGAGTGGTTATTTCAGTCAAAGTTGCTCTTCTATCAGCTTGAATCAGTCGGCCCATTCTCCTCTGACCTCTAGCATCAACAAGGCATTTTCGCCCACAGGACTGCCGCATACTGGATGTTTTTCCCTTTTCACACCATTCTTTGTAAACCCTAGAAATGGTTGTGCGTGAAAATCCCAGTAACTGAGCAGATTGTGAAATACTCAGACCGGCCCGTCTGGCACCAACAACCATGCCACGCTCAAAATTGCTTAAATCACCTTTCTTTCCCATTCTGACATTCAGTTTGGAGTTCAGGAGATTGTCTTGACCAGGACCACACCCCTAAATGCATTGAAGCAACTGCCATGTGATTGGTTGGTTAGATAATTGCATTTATGAGAAATTGAACAGGTGTTCCTAATAATCCTTTAGGTGAGTGTATATTCAGTACATGTATTGCTCTCATGCTGGACAACTTTACCAAATTAAGGTCATTTCCTCCGCTCCGCCCAATAAAAAGTCAGACAATTTGGATTTAATGTGGATTTTTGGAAAATTGCCGGCTTTGAATTTTTTTTATTCACCCCTCCAAGGAGATTTATGCTATTCTTGGTCAACATTATGCCAAGACATTCAAGATGATAAAAACTGCAAATGGATTTTTGATATCTCAACTGGTTTTACCATGGCAAGGCAAAACATTTATGGAAAGAAAGGAAAGTGGAAGTGTCACATGTCTTGTAGGCGGTGTATGATTGGTCATGGATGATCACATGGATGTGGATATTGTTCTTCACAGTCATAGCACCACCAACTGGCAGCAGAAAGGGTGGCTCTTATTACAAAATTAAGAAAAGGTAGAGGATCTTGCACACTTTTTCAAAACAAATGACATGATCACAAAGATTTAAATAAATGCTGTAAAACACTGAGGAAGTTCCTCCATGACTGAAATGTTTGTTACTTTTAGGCAAGGCAAGGCAAGTTTATTTATATAGCACATTTCATACACTATGGCAATTCAAATTGCTTTACATAGAGAGGAAATAATCACAAAATAAAAGCAAGGAAAATTCAAACAGTTATTCAAAAGCTTTACATAGAAAGGAATTATAATAATCACACTATAGCAATTCATAGAGCTTTGCATAGAAAATAGACACAAAAGGGGGAATTAAAGCAGTTGTAAAATGAATTAAAGGAGATAAATGATACAGTTATAAAATGAATTAGAGTAAAATGAATTAAAATAGTAAAAAGATGATACATAGAATAAACTTCTCATCTGGCAAAACACCGGTGAATCTTATTTTGACTCTGAGATTTCCCCATGACGGTCAGTATTCTTCTTAAATGCACTGAGCACTTTATTTTTGCACATGGATAAAAATTCACAAAATTGCTAGACTGCAGTTCCAGGTGTGTACATGCTAAGAAAACTTCAAAAGTGAAATTCAAAAAGTTTAAAAGTTGTGCTGAAATAGTAATTTAGGTTTATTATAACTTCACTGTATTTTATTGTACTGTTTTGTTTAAAAGCTGTAATACATTTATTCACATCTAAATGTCCGAGCATTAAATGATGTTTTATTTTAACAAGGTTCGGGAGGAGCAGGTGCAGATAATTACCCCAATCAGCACAAGTGGAGATCAATCAGTAATCAACTCAGGACAAGATAAATAACAGCGGAACCCACCTTTGTTCCTTGACAGTTTATTAGCATCCCACCTCCACCCCATCTCCTCACTTTAGTTCCATCTACTCTTACCAACGGGGGGAGTACTCTGGGTTCGGGCAGAATTTCCGAGCTCGGAGCCCTCCACCCGGACAGCACGCCAAGTACGCATAATAATTATATGTAGATGTGAACTCGTGAAACAGCTGTAGTGTGTGTTCTGGTTGTCTATAAGTCTGTGTTGTGTGTGTTTTTTCACAGCTGCATTCAGATGTGGATAAGGGTGATGGAAATGTCAGGTACGTGTTGACAGGGGAGGGAGCGTCTTCAGTCTTCACTATCGATGAGAATACAGGAGACATCCATGCTACCAAACGCCTGGACCGAGAGGAACAGGGTTATTACACGCTGCGTGCGCAAGCGGTCGACCGCCAAACTAGCCGTCCGCTAGAGGACGAGTCTCAGTTCCTCGTGAAGGTCCAGGACATCAATGACAACGAGCCCAAGTTCCTGGACGGGCCGTACGCCTCACGAGTGCCCGAAATGTCTCCTCTCGGTACGTTCATTTAACTAATCTTTGCTCATCTTCAAAAGCTTATGATTACTTTCTTAGAAGAATACATATAAAAATACATTTCAAAATTGCCAAGAACTACCATTCAAAAGTTTGGGATCGGTATGATTATTTAAAATGTTTGTAAAGCAAGTCTCTTCTGCTCTCAAAGACTGCAATTATTTGACACACAAGGGCTGTAGCAAAAATCTCTTGTGTGTGTGGAAACTACTTCACAGATTCAGTATCTGCCATTGCTAGTTTAAAAAAATGTCTAAGCCTTTGTTCTAAATGGAAAACATCACGTTAGAACAAGGAGAGGTGAATTGGGCTGTTCTTTAGACACCAACTAAAGAAACTCCTTTACAGAATGAGATTATTACAAAACTCCTGTGAGTTAAGAAGATGATAAGCTTTTGCCTGTTTTCTCAATATTTTAAGGCACAGAATTGTGTGCTTTTACTCCCAAGATGCAGTGCGCCACTGAATGTGTGTCAAATCTTGAAAACTGCCAATGAAAATAAGCAAGAGCTTTCCGAAGCACAAGAACATGACAAATGAGAGCGGGAGCAAGAGAGAAACACACAGTCACTAAAATGAAACATGGAGGCAGAAGCTGATGTCTCAGGGCCCAGGAGATCTCCTGAAGGATTCGGAAGCTGAATGCTCCTCGCCTGAGGACCCTGTCAGAACGGGACTCATAGATTAAACTTCCAGGTTAGGTTGGAGTGACAGTGTGTGTGGATCAGTCACATTACAGGCGTATTCAGTGTGTGTGGATCAGTCACATTACAGGCGTATTCAGTGTGTGTGAATCAGTCACATTACAGGCGTATTCAGTGTGTGTGGATCAGTCACATTACAGGCGTATTCAGTGTGTGTGAATCAGTCACATGACAGGCGTATTCAGTGTGTGTGAATCAGTCACATGACAGGCGTATTCAGTGTGTGTGGATCAGTCACATGACAGGCGTATTCAGTGTGTGTGGATCAGTCACATGACAGGCGTATTCAGTGTGTGTGGATCAGTCACATTACAGGCGTATTCAGTGTGTGTGGATCAGTCACATGACAGGCGTATTCAGTGTGTGTGGATCAGTCACATGACAGGCGTATTCAGTGTGTGTGGATCAGTCACATTACAGGCGTATTCAGTGTGTGTGAATCAGTCACATTACAGGCGTATTCAGTGTGTGTGGATCAGTCACATTACAGGCGTATTCAGTGTGTGTGAATCAGTCACATGACAGGCGTATTCAGTGTGTGTGAATCAGTCACATGACAGGCGTATTCAGTGTGTGTGGATCAGTCACATGACAGGCGTATTCAGTGTGTGTGGATCAGTCACATGACAGGCGTATTCAGTGTGTGTGAATCAGTCACATTACAGGCGTATTCAGTGTGTGTGGATCAGTCACATTACAGGCGTATTCAGTGTGTGTGGATCAGTCACATGACAGGCGTATTCAGTGTGTGTGGATCAGTCACATTACAGGCGTATTCAGTGTGTGTGAATCAGTCACATTACAGGCGTATTCAGTGTGTGTGGATCAGTCACATTACAGGCGTATTCAGTGTGTGTGAATCAGTCACATGACAGGCGTATTCAGTGTGTGTGAATCAGTCACATGACAGGCGTATTCAGTGTGTGTGGATCAGTAACATGACAGGCGTATTCAGTGTGTGTGGATCAGTCACATGACAGGCGTATTCAGTGTGTGTGGATCAGTCACATTACAGGCGTATTCAGTGTGTGTGGATCAGTCACATGACAGGCGTATTCAGTGTGTGTGGATCAGTCACATGACAGGCGTATTCAGTGTGTGTGGATCAGTCACATTACAGGCGTATTCAGTGTGTGTGAATCAGTCACATTACAGGCGTATTCAGTGTGTGTGGATCAGTCACATTACAGGCGTATTCAGTGTGTGTGAATCAGTCACATGACAGGCGTATTCAGTGTGTGTGAATCAGTCACATGACAGGCGTATTCAGTGTGTGTGGATCAGTCACATGACAGGCGTATTCAGTGTGTGTGGATCAGTCACATGACAGGCGTATTCAGTGTGTGTGAATCAGTCACATGACAGGCGTATTCAGTGTGTGTGGATCAGTCACATGACAGGCGTATTCAGTGTGTGTGAATCAGTCACATGACAGGCGTATTCAGTGTGTGTGGATCAGTCACATGACAGGCGTATTCAGTGTGTGTGAATCAGTCACATGACAGGCGTATTCAGTGTGTGTGGATCAGTCACATGACAGGCGTATTCAGTGTGTGTGGATCAGTCACATGACAGGCGTATTCAGTGTGTGTGGATCAGTCACATGACAGGCGTATTCAGTGTGTGTGAATCAGTCACATGACAGGCGTATTCAGTGTGTGTGGATCAGTCACATGACAGGCGTATTCAGTAGGTGTGTTCGACATCGGCTGCGGCTGGATGTAAGCGATCGGCGAGAGTAGCCGCGTGCAGGCGGGGAGGAGCTGCAAACGGAGACGTGAAGTCGGACACTTTCTGGTTCCCGTAGTGACCGCTCACGTGGTGTTTGTATACTTTACCACAGCTGAAGTGAAATAAATGCAATATTTGCCAAATACACAGATGTTTCAGAGACATTTTCATTCAATACTTTATGTACTGCTTCATACAGCGTTGGTTTGAACAAGAATAAAGTTCAACATAAGCCTACAGCTAGGCCTACTATCAATGAAGTGGAATCAACGTTTTTTAATCAGTTTTATTTTGATAAACATAACACAATAAATCGCGACTACATGAAAAGAGTGTTTACTGTAATTAAAAAAAACTGATTTGTGAGCTTTAGTGGAACTAAAGGTGTGAGAATAAACACGAAACGCACGTGATCGTTGTCATGCGGTGAATCCGGCCAATCGTGGAACAGCTGTGTCGTCATCACAGCTCGTGCAGCCCAGAGCAGCTGCTCTTCAGAAGCTGCGCTGGCTGAGTTCTCCGGCTACTCTCGAATCGCTCTCGCGGTACTTTGATGGCATACGTCACAGTCACGTGGCGTCGGCGCTGTATCAAGTCGGACAACATTTCTAACCGGCATGCACTGCTTCAAGTCTGCCGCCGATCGGTCTGCGCAGAGCTGCATGAAGTCGAACAAGCCTAGTGTGTGTGGATCAGTCACATGACAGGCGTATTCAGTGTGTGTGGATCAGTCACATGACAGGCGTATTCAGTGTGTGTGGATCAGTCACATGACAGGCGTATTCAGTGTGTGTGGAGCAGACACATGATAGGCGTATTCAGTGTGTGTGGATCAGTCACATGATAGGCGTATTCAGTGTGTGTGGATCAGTCACATGACAGGCGTATTCAGTGTGTGTGGATCAGTCACATGACAGGCATATTCAGTGTGTGTGGATCAGTCACATGACAGGCATATTCAGTGTGTGTGGATCAGTCACATGACAGGCGTATTCAGTGTGTGTGGATCAGTCACATGACAGGCGTATTCAGTGTGTGTGAATCAGTCACATGACAGGCGTATTCAGTGTGTGTGAATCAGTCACATGACAGGCGTATTCAGTGTGTGTGGATCAGTCACATTACAGGCGTATTCAGTGTGTGTGGATCAGTCACATTACAGGCGTATTCAGTGTGTGTGGATCAGTCACATTACAGGCGTATTCAGTGTGTGTGGATCAGTCACATTACAGGCGTATTCAGTGTGTGTGGATCAGTCACATGACAAGCGTATTCAGTGTGTGTGAATCAGTCACATGACAGGCGTATTCAGTGTGTGTGGATCAGTCACATGACAGGCGTATTCAGTGTGTGTGAATCAGTCACATTACGGGCGTATTCAGTGTGTGTGAATCAGTCACATGACAAGCGTATTCAGTGTGTGTGTGGATCAGTCACATGACAGGCGTATTCAGTGTGTGTGGATCAGTCACATTACAGGCGTATTCAGTGTGTGTGGATCAGTCACATGACAGGCGTATTCAGTGTGTGTGGATCAGTCACATTACAGGCGTATTCAGTGTGTGTGGATCAGTCACATGACAAGCGTATTCAGTGTGTGTGAATCAGTCACATTACAGGCGTATTCAGTGTGTGTGAATCAGTCACATGACAGGCGTATTCAGTGTGTGTGGATCAGTCACATGACAGGCGTATTCAGTGTGTGTGAATCAGTCACATTACGGGCGTATTCAGTGTGTGTGAATCAGTCACATGACAAGCGTATTCAGTAGGCTTGTTCGACTTCATGCAGCTCTGCGCAGACCGATCGGCGGCAGACTTGAAGCAGTGCATGCCGGTTAGAAATTTTGTCCGACTTGATACAGCGCCGACGCCACGTGACTGTGACGTATGCCATCAAAGTACCGCGAGAGCGATTCGAGAGTAGCCGGAGAACTCAGCCAGCGCAGCTTCTGAAGAGCGGCTGCTCGGGGCTGCACGAGCTCTGATGACGACACAGCTGTTCCACGATTGGCCGGATTCACCGCATGACAACGATCACGTGCGTTTCGTGTTTATTCGGTTTATTCTCACACCTTTAGTTCCACTAAAGCTCACAAATCAGTTTTTTTTATAACAGTAAACACTCTTTTCATGTAGTCGCGATGTATTGTGTTATGTTTATCAAAATAAAACTGATTAAAAAACGTTGATTCCACTTCATTGATAGTAGCTGTAGGCTTATGTTGAACTTTATTCTTGTTCAAACAAACGCTGTATGAAGCAGTACATAAAGTATTGAATGAAAATGTCTCTGAAACATCTGTGTATTTGGCAAATATTGCATTTATTTCACTTCAGCTGTGCTAAAGTATACAAACACCACGTGAGCAGTCACTACGGGAACCAGAAAGTGTCCGACTTCACATCTCCGTTTGCAGCTCCTCCCCGCCTGCACGCGGCTACTCTCGCCGATCAGTTACATCCAGCCGCAGCCGATGTCGAACACACCTAGTGTGTGTGTGGATCAGTCACATGACAGGCGTATTCAGTGTGTGTGGATCAGTC